TGCATCTTAATCAACAAGGCAGGTAAGTAGGTCATCTTCATAGTCTGACCAGTTCTTGTTGTAGATAGGAATATCAATCGGGGAGACAAACAGTTCAAGTACAAGTACTGAGGAAGGAATGAGGTTCAGCAGGAATGGGTTTGCCAGTGAGGTCAGTTAGGGTAGATAGTGCACGAGCTTGGGATTCAGGTGTAACTGTGACTAGGCGTGAACGATCAGAACGACTGCAAAAGGAAACTTTGCCTACTTGTTTTTGGAGACATTTTTGAAAGAGAAGGGTCTTGCAAGAGTAAGGGGCTGTAGGGGGAATCACAAAGAATCGATCTCACTTGGCTGAGCCAAAGAGAGTACTCAAAAGGTTTGCAGAGGTGGAAGCAGTAAAAGGATGAGGAAGGAGGAAGATGGGGTGGTGTGGAGTGAAGCAGTTCTGTGGGGGTGGGGTGGACAAAAATGATGAAGAGTAGTAATAATGGAAGAGGGGGCAGACAATGCAGAAGACTATACACTAAAGAGATGGAGTGGAGAATGATGGGTGAGAGGATGGGGTGCATTCTGAAGGTTGAGTAATGACCTGGGTGGGTTGTTCAGAATGGATAGAGTTGTCAGTAGACATTGAGGAAGGAGTATTGGTATGAATGATCAGAGCTGTAGTCAAAGGAGGGGCAGGGATCGGAAAACCAACAAAATCCAATTCAGATAGGCTATTTGATGAAGGGTCAAGCCTTAATGTCCATTATAAGGGTAAAGAATCTTCATTACTGGCCATGGTGAACCTGATTAAAATGTGAAAAAGGAACGGTCTACCTTTCTGGGTCCCCATATGGGTCCAGGAGGCCATTCATGACCAACACAAAGCCAACCTTTCATCTTTTTAGCACTTAGGGAAGTGGACAGAAGGGGTTTAAGAAGATATGTAAGATGCAAGGAGGAGAAGAAAAGCCCATCTAAAATCAGTTGAGGCAAAGGTTAGTATATTATAAATTACGATCTAACAACAGATGTTATTAGATGATAGTGTTAACTGCTCTTGCTTGTCCAAGAGATTATTGGTGCTAGAACTAAGGCATATGACTAATTTCATATATAAATTTATTTTTTCACTAAGAATATTATAAACAGCATTTATTCCCTTATAGTCTAGTAATTATATGCACATGTGCTACTGAAATATTCAAAATTACTGAAAATATTCAGAAAATACAGAAAATGGCTATCACATAGGGGATGATATGATTTCAGAGTGTCTCAGGGAAAGTCTATATATAATCAGATATAAAATTGAAAAAAAGAGCATTTGAAGCTATAAAAAAATCACGGGCCGGACCTGATGAAATGCCTGCAATCTTCTTAAAAACTGTAAAGAAACTGTAGCAAAACAACTGGTAAATCTATTAAGGAAATCCTTAGATATGGGAATTATTTCCAAGTCCACTATGATTAGGGACATTAATGTAGAAATTAAACACTCTAGAGTAACATCTTTTGCTGATGATAGGATTATTACACCATTAGGGTTAACAGAGACTGAAGACAAACTAAGAGAGGACCTTCATGCTATTTGTAAATGGACAAGTGAAAACAATATGAATTTTAATGCTGATAAATTTGAAATCATAAAATATAGTCCAATTGGAAGTCCAAGACCAAGAACATACTCTGTTGAAGAAATAGGGATTAACCCATTGGCGCCGGGTGTCACGTACGTACATGCCATGGTTGTTGTGGACCAAACGCCGGGGGCATCATGCCATGCCCATTCCCGCGCTACTGGCTCATCGGAAGGAGGTTGTTTTTCTCCACTAGTAACGGCTTCATTTATATGGTAAAGATTTTAGGCAATGGCACCTAAAGTGAAGGTAAACCTTCAAAATTTTAATATCTTTATAAATTATAGCAAAATAAAATCTTTTAGGTGCTATATGTCACTCGAAAACTACCGATCGAGCCGGGCGCAAACAGGGGAAACTGGCAGTGTGCGCCAACAAGCCGGTGCATACGTAAACTTGACAAAATTTTTACCCGTCGCTGATGGGTTAAGGAAAACATAGCTGTAAACAACCTAGGTCTGTTCATGAGTAATTACATGATCTTCAGTCATCACATTGCGCAGGATGTCAACAAAGGAAAAATTATGAGTGGATGGATGATGAGAACTCTTCAGACAAAGAGATCCTAAACACCTACTAACAATATGGAAAACACAAATGATTTCAAGGTATCAGTGCCAAGTAAGGAAGCATAGTCTCACAAAAGACACCATACTGCTAAAACAGGATCAGAGAGCTTCGTCCAGAGATGGCCGGTCTTAGTTATTGGGAAAGACTAAAGCAAAAAAGCTTTTCTCTTTCCAAACACAGAGAGAAAAATACTTCATTATAAAGATCACCGGAAATTTAGCATCAAATCCAAGAGAGATAGAAGAGGGGGGAATCAAGGTAAGAGACTTCACTAGACAGTAAAGAACTTATTAATTTTTATCTTTCTTTTATCTTATATTGCTTCTAGTAATACTAATAAGGTTATAATAATTATAATGTCTATAATAATAATAATAATAACAGAAACAATACTAATAGCATTAGCAAAAAACATTTTTCTTGAAAACAAGAAGTGAAATCAAGTGAGGTCACAAAATCTACTAATTGAGTCGTTAGTGGCTAAGCATTTGCTGAGCCATCTACATGTAGACATTTTACAAAAAAATACTAAAAGCAACACAACATTTTTCAAGCAATATGGAGTTAATGTTTCTTGATGACATATAGGACTAATGGTGATGTTATGGTCTATTCATGTAATACATTAGTGCTAAAAGTACAGTATAGAAATGTTGCATTGTCAATTTTCCTTTCTGTGTGACAACTAAAATGTAGGTAATGGTTAATGGTTTAAACAAACAAATGTGGTAGACATCAAAAGTCATAAAGCACTATGGTCAAGTATTGTGACGAATATAAGTTAAAAATGAGTTAATGATTAGGATAAAATGTGTTAGCTGTCAAAGCTTAAAGAGCATTATAGGATGGTATGGTAGTGAAAAGGGTAAAGAGGGGGAGCAAAGGAAGTTAAGCAGAGATTAGTAAATGAGGAAAGGGTTAAGGATGTAGGCCAATTGGATGATATGGATTGTACCTGTGGTTGGGGAAGGAATAGGAAATGGCAAAAGAACCATTATGAAACAATCAACAGGTAACACAGGTAGAGATGGCTGTTAGAGAAGTAGGAGAAGAATCCAGGAAATGAGGTAAGTGGACTGGGGAATATGGTAAAGAATCAGGATGAATGTCATATAATGACAAATGGTAATTATGTACAAAGCAAAGGAAACATAGGCTAACAAACACTTACAGGATAAGTCCACAGTTAGTAACATTGAATTCTGTGAACAAATATTTTCTTGTTGGCTAAGAACTGACTGTTTGCATTTACTTCAAATGTCACTCATTACTACATAAGCCTTTACTCATAGTAATTTCTACTTCACTAGCTTTGGTAATTATTCTATATTCAAAATGGATCCATATCATTGGACCAATTTACATAACAAGATGATCTGATGATTACGTTTCTCAGTACTTCAATGACTAATGAGCAGCTTTGTTTTAGACATCTTGACTCAATCTATCAAAGCCGACAATATCATATGAAATTACAACCTGAATAACAATATCTTCTCCTTACCAATGATTCTAATAATCCTTCTTGATCACTCTGCACTGGTGAAAATGGGCTAATGTCTATTTCAAAGTTGTCATTGCTTTTCTCTGTTTCTGAACTTGTTTCTTGTGAGTTGTTGGTCTGAATATGAATTGTAGCTTTTTTTAATTTACATTGTCCTGTATCTTTATATTCCTTTAATTTAATCATACTCTTTGTAGTACTGGTTATACCTTGCTCCCTCTTTTTCATGCTGGATCTCTGTTCATTCTTTTTAATGTTATTAGCTGGCACAAAGGAACCATTTGTATTCTGGGTGCATTTTCTAGAACTCTGATGCCAAATCTCCCTTTCCAAGTCTTTAATTTCATTTATTTCCTCAAAATTTAATTTGTCTTCATGGGCCAACTCAAATGACTTAGGTTTTTGGTCACATGCACTTTCTCCAAGATTGCTATGGTCAAATGTTGCCTCTATCCTTAAAGAAGGTGAAATTTCAAAATGATTTACATTAGAGTTTGGATGTCTAGAGGACTTAGGTGTTTCACCTTTGCCCCGCTGAAGACTCAAATAAGATCGGGGACCTAAACTAATTCTCCTTCTTTTAACAACAGTCTGTGAACCAAGAATAGGGGAGCTTGGTTCAGTTATATACATCGAGCAAGATATCTCATCTTCCTTTGGTGCCTGTAGTGGTATTTCTCTTGATGGATATCTTTGTGAGCCTACCACAGGGGACAAATTAGAAGATTTATGACCACATATACTCTTCTTTGGAGTTTTCTCCAAATCTCTATGATCAATTTTAGAATTTAAGTTCCTTTTCTGAGAGACTTTATTTGAAAATGAAGATTCATGAGATCTGTTTCTATTACCAGTACAAATCACATCTGCACAACTTCTGCCAATCGGAGGAGATGATGAAAGTTTTTGCTTCTGTTTAGCAGAAAGGGTTTTCTCCGCTATTTTTCTCTTACAAGGTAGACTTGGTTCTTCGCATGGAGAGAAATTACACTCATAACTTCTATTCTTAATAACCAGCAATCTAGCAGATGATTTGCTTTTAGCATTATTTTTTTGGTCCTCTTCATCACTACTAGACCACTCAATAGCATTAAACTGACTAAGAGCCTGCTGGGGAGAAGCTGGCAAGAAATACTGCAAGCTCTCTCGCCTCTGGTTCCAACTCTGAAAAAATTAAATAAAATTAGAGCAGCCTTACAGAAATTTTTTTAATTGACAAATACTTCTTTATATTCTATTTCATCTTCATTCATATCTATATTGCCAACACAAGAGAAGATTTTACCTATTTACAATACAAGACATTTGGATGAAAATTA